CTCAACAAACTTCTTCAGAGCATTAATATCAATTCCAACATGTCGGCCCCTGCCATCACAGTTTTTAAGGTTAAAGTCACCTGAACGAAATTTGCTGTACCATCTTTGACACTTACGAATGTTCAAAACATTTCCACAAACTTCTTTGATATTCTTTGTGGCTACAGAGGCGTTCTTCCCTTTCTTGTATTCAAACAGCATTACATGCCGAATGTGTGTCTCGTCGTGTTCCATCCCATCACTATAACTATAAGGGTTTAGAGTATACTAAACTTTACACATTATATAGGCTACACTAAAGTGACTTTTAGGCGATTCGTTAACTATTATACGTGATGTACGTTGTTTGGGGGTGGTTAATGAAAGTGTTCCAAAACGTGACATTAATTTCTTGACGACCTAATGCATCCAGATGGAAGAAACAGGGTAAAAATAGCATCTTTACCGGCTGGCTTAAAATAGCCTACATAGAGTTTAGGAATCAAAACGATTAGAAATCAGGAGACTACATTACATTCGACTAGCAAATCTTTTCTGTGTAACTCTTTCTTTCTGAAAACAAAGTAAAACCTCAACTATCAAGGATATATGTTTTATCATGGTTCCCAGTCCAATGTTCATTAAAAAAACCCACGTCTGTAGAACAGGGTAGCATAAAGTCACCGAAAGACGAGAATGGAAAGGCTTGATCAGAAAGACATAAACTTTTCGGAAAACAAAAATGAAGACAGAACTGCTCCAAGTAATTAAGACGATATATACGTGTATCTAAAGAGCAATCGATATACCAGTATAAAAGAACACGTCTTAGTGGGGTTTTCTATCAAACAGCTTTTATGTAAGACTTCTGATCAGAAATAGCTTCTTCTTCATCAATCTTTTTTATCTCAAGAAGGAAATTACTCTTGAGTTGAGCTACTTCATGAGCATTAGAAAAGGTGGATAAGTCATAACAACAAGAGAAACCACTCAAGTAAAATTGTAACTAAAAAACTGGAGCTCTTGGTGTGAGTAAACAGTTCAGGATATCACCCAATGTATGCAAGGACAAATAACGTTATTAGCAAGAGGATATTTGCTTCTTTTCAACGCAAAGGGTTAAAATCTATATAGACAGCTAGGTATTACTCACACATATAGAAAAAAAATCTCAAAACGATCGGCTTCATAAGACTCTTAAGTTTATGGCCTGGCACTGCCAGGTGGTTAGGGCGCTCGACTCTCAATCAGCGGGTGGCGGGTTCGAATCCCCGTCACACCAAACATGCTCGCCTTTTTCAGCCGTGGGGGCTTTATTATTTGACGGTCAAACCCACTATTCGTTGGTAAAAGAGTGGCCCAAGAGTTGGCGGTGGGTGGTGATGACTAGCTGCTTTCCCTCTAGTCCTTCAATGCTAAATTAGGGACGGCTAGCGCAGATAGCCCTCGTGTAGCTTCGCGCCAAATTCATAACAGACCAGACCAACTCTTTAGTCTATGAATATATTGAATTAAAATTTTTTTTTTTTTGGCCCGGCATGGCCAGGTGGTTAGGGCGCTCGACTCGCAATATGAGGATCGTGGGTTTGAATCCCCGTC